CAAAGGAATTTAATCATGAACTTAATATTGTATCCTAAAGGCTAATATGTTTAGATGCTTCTGTTCTTGGGGTGAGAATGCCATTAAAATGATGTCATATTGCCACATGCAATAAATACTAGATACAATGTGGAAGAACTTAAATTTGCCTTAATGCATTTGAATAGACCTATGTTATAAATAAATTGCATTTAATGTGTAGGGCAGAAAATTGCTGATTTTAATATTTTCTGCTTTAGCAAAAAATTTTTCAAAATGCTTTCCATGTAATTATAACAAAAAAATTAATTAAGCTTATGCCTATTCATATACCATATTCAAAATTTAGAGAAATTTATCTGCATTCAAAAGAGAATACAGTGGTGCATTGGTGCTCAAATGTAATTCATTCCTTGAGGCTGGCTGTTTGTGTACCAAACAATTTTTTTCATAAGGAAGAATGTAAATTAGATTAATTTGTTTTAGACTCTTCAAAAATACATTTATAAAGTCATTTTAACCAGAATTTAACAAAAATTAAAGTTTTACAAGTTCAGCAAGTATAAGCTATTAAAAAAAAATACTCATAGGCAATGCAGAGTGGCAAAATAGACCTTGTTAATTTTATTTTGTGCACTTTTAACAGCGGGATTGCTTAATACAGATGTGTGACTTAATTACAACAATTCTGAGATTGTATTCTTTGTTTTGAAGGTTAGGTTAGGTTAGGTAGGCAAAGAGTGAAAATGGTTTTTTTATTTCTAGGATATTCATGAATATTTCTATTAGTTTTGAGAACTGATGTCTTCAATTTCCATGGATTGTATTTATTCTTATATAGGCATGTTTTACATAGAAAAATAAAATGAAAAAATTGATTATTTCTATCATCCCCACTGGATTTGTCCAACTCTTAATAAGTTTGCACAATCTTCATTATAATTACACAAAATACAATTACACTTAATTACACAATATCAGAATTGGGATAAGAGGCTTAACCCATTATCTTGTTAAAAATTGATAATTCAAAAGTAATACTAATGAATATTTTGTTGTAACACTTAGCAGGGTTTCAGTCTATTGACTCTTGTTTGAACTTGTAACCATAATTTGTAATCTAATAATATTTTTTGTTAATATTTTTGCATGTACTACGTAATATTGTTTAATATCTTGCACATTATATTATTATTGTAATTATAGTAACCAATTCATCTGCTTGCTTACTATTAAGGCAACTGCTTTTGATCTAACATATTTTCAAGGAATCTTTGGGGTGAGTTCAAAAGACTCAAAGCATAAAAGGACTCTCTATTTATTTATTTATTCTTGATTTTACAATTTTTTTTCCTTCATTAAAACATTGTTTGAAGTTAGTTTATTTATGGAATAATTATTTGATTTCAGAGTTATCTACATAGAATCAGACTTTATAAGTTGATAAGATATTGAATATTACTTCTGGACTCAGAAATTTTATCTTTTTAGATAACAGTTTAAAAGAATGGTACCTTTTTCTCTATTTGGTTCTTACCAGTTTATTTTTCAATCAGAAATCAGAGAACCCACAGCTATAAATTCTTGTCTAAAGACCTTCAACTTTCCTTTTGTAATATAAATGCATAACTAAATGCAGGGGGAAAAAATGAAAAGACAAAGATACTTTTGTCTTGAAGTTCTCATAGATAGAATATGTGCAGAAATTTCTGTGACAACTAACATTTTATCAAATTTATAATTAGCATGTAATCAGATTATTATATAAATGAAATAAGTTAAAAAATACAGTAGAACCTCGATTATTTGGACCTCTATTATTTGGATTTTCGATTATCCGGATTGTTAAAAATAAACAAAAATTTACGAATTTGCTGATTTGCACTTGGCGAATTACGATACTGTTTATATACATGATGGAATGCATAACTTTTTTGTTTCAACAACGTCTCATTCGGCACAGTGGCCGTAAACTCTTAAATATATTTTGTGTCGTAATAAAAATATAACTTGACATACGTATTTATAAATAATTTATATTCAAATTACATCATTTCTATGACCAAGGGCGGAGTAAGGCATGGGCAACGTGGGCCACCGTCTATGCATCGCGGTTTGAAGAGCCTCGCGTTTCGAAGGTTTATGCATTACTTAAAAGCTGTGAACGCAACGAAAAAATTTTACTCGTCAGAAAACGATAAATAGTTTGTCAAATTTTTATTCATAAAAATGCAGTTTCAACTGCTTTTTATTTTATAAAATCCGTCTTCTTGCGCCACCAGAGGGCCTTTTAAACAATAGGTAGTCTGTTAGCACTGGTCAGTAGTAGTACAAATTCAATACAAACGTTTGTTTCTTGAACATTTGATCACGATTTAAATACAGTATTTACTTTTAATATTACCGATATGCCGTCGAAAAGAAAACGTGTTGTATTATCATTAAAAGACAAATTAAAGTATTTGTTTCGATTATCCGGATTTTTCCTTATCCGGACTACCTTCATCCTCAATTAGTCCGGATAATCGAGGTTCTACTGTATATTAAAAACTGTTTAAAAATTTATTACAGTTTTGTTATGTTGCATTTTAATTCTTAGCTTATCTTTGAACTGCTACTGTTTCTAAAGGGATTGCTTTACACCTTACACTTTGAAAAACTTTGTTAAAGATATTGAATCAAAGAGGAACTGGAATTATATCAAAAGTGCAGATTACATTTGTTAACAGGGATTTTGTTAAACAATTATGACTGTTTCTTGATAATTCTGATGTGCTGATTACAAATCTCAATTTTTCTATTAGATTTTACTTATTTGTAACAGATAAAAATGCTTTATCTGTAATTATGCAGTAAATCACTTTGATTTATCAGAATCATTATTTAAATGACATGGAAACACTTCAAAAACACCTAATATATATGTTATAAAACTTCATAATGACTTAGTTTTGAAGCCTTTTTTTCTGTATATCCAGTCTGTCAGCTATAAATTAAAATGAAAAATTTTCATAGTAATATATTAAAACTGTTTTGAAAACTGTTTATTTTTAAATCTTATTTTTTCTGTATTTATAATAAATTACAGGTAACCTCTATATAACACGGGAGTTATGTTAAAAAAAATTGCCGTGTTATGCGAATCTGTGTTATATGAAACAAAGAACTAATGTGAAAAGGGGGGTTAGGTTCCAAAAATTAAAAATCATGCTGTTAAATTTTTAAAATTGAATTTGTTATTCATTTTTTATGGGTAAAATACTTATTTATTATATAAGTAAATATTTTATCAGAGGATTATTTATCCTATATGATGATCTCAGCATGAGCATCATCAACTGGTAACAGTTTTTGGGTGCTTTAGTTAATAGCAGTCGCTTTGTGTCTCCGCTACAACGGGAGTGCGCTGCTGTTTGTAGGCATTTAGGAACGATGGTGAAAGAAAGATGGCAGCGCCCGCACTATTGTAAGCTTGCTGACCTGGTGGAGATTGAGGACTTAAAATCCTACTACTCGGACTCCAGTGTAAGTTTGCCGACTTCTGGGGGGAATCGTTAATTCCGCGTCAGGATAATCTAGGGTCGTTTGCGCGTGGTTGTGGCGGAGGAGACTAGGATGACAAGAATCTCACAAAAACCCATTTATTTTAAACGTAAAAGTAAACTTGCACTAGGGTACAAAATGTTCTTTACACAATTGAAGGTTCAAAGTATTGAAGGTGTTTCTACTGTGGCTCAAAGGAAGGCCCCAGGGCAACGGCAGGTGTGGAGATTTGTTAGTCGGTGTCAGTGGCGTTCTGAGTCTGTAGTCACACATTATAAGTTGGGCACAACCGACAGAAAACTGCTTTTCCGCATGGACTACCCGGTGCAGGTGCACAGTTTTTCGGAAAGTAAATCTGTCCTTCCAGATCGAGGATTATATCAGTCTACGTTCTTGGTTTTGTTTTCTTCTGATTGGCTCCACGTCCCTTTCTTCTTGCTCCCCGATTGGTCTCTTGTCTGTCTCTAAGCAAAACACGATTCCTGTTCGAGTCACCAGAAAGATCCGCTTTGAAGAATCTAATTGACACCATCCGTTACTCTGGATACAAAATGTTGATGGAACTTTGAAACTTGCACTCATATTTTCCGCTATTGTTGTGTAGTCTGTGACGTTTTTGAAATTTAACGACACTACGCAATGTCCCTTTTCGTCATTAACCTTACCTCTTTTCAAAATTTCTGTTCTAATTATTTGCATATGAGCGATTTGTCAAAGGTCCATTTCTACTGCAGGTCGTTCGTTTACAATTATTAATCATTTATAATTATTGCGTTCTGTTTACATCAATAGTTTTCTTTTTCCTCTCGTTGTGGTTTTATATGACTAGAACAACTAATTCAATCTTTGATCGGTTTTAACAATAGATGATTTTTTTCTAGTTTCATTTTAATAAATTAATAATAATAAATGTTTAATTTCAACTCCTTTTTGGACCTCACACTATCGGTAGTATCGCAGTGGAGGAATTTATAATTTTAAAATATGAGCTTTTAGAAGCAAAAGCAGGGTTCCAATTATAAAATTTAACCATTAAATGGATTATTTGTTGAAATAGCATTCAAAGTAGCAATGAAAAAAATAGAATGCTTGCGCAGAGTTATGCTGAGGTATAAAAGAACGCATGCTTTATTACATTTCATGTTGAATGAGGGTTTCATCCAATTCCCGAACTGTGTTAGAGTGAGCCCGTGCTATAAAAGCACCGTGTTATACGGGGATGTGTCCCAATTCTCGAACCGTCTTAGAGTGAATTCGTGCTATAGAAGTGTTGTGTTATATGGGGGTTACCTGTATATAAAAATAAAGTTTGAACAATATTTAAATCATTATAATAAAATAAATTATTAATTGAATTGGAGGTATTTCTTATAATGTGTTTTATATTTTAATAGCCTAAATATATAGGATCATTAATGAAAGCTGCNTTTAAATTAAATTAATAATTTATTTTATTACGTTTTTTTATATTTTAATAGCCTAAATATATAGAAGGTTTAAAGAAAGCAGCTCAATTAAGAAGAAAAGAATATAATAAAAGAATACAAAAAAAAATTCAAAAAGAAAGACAAAAAGAAGGAAATCAATTTGAGGATAAAGAGGAATTTGTCACAAATTCCTATAAGAAATTTTTAAAAATGCAAGAAGAAGAAGAAGAATTAGAAGGTATAGTATTTATTTTAAAACCATTTAAAATTCATTTTATTTATATTTATTCATCTCGAACATAACTTGAAATGCTATCTTACATGTACAGTAGACCCCCCATAACACAGTAGATACGTTCCGTGTTATGTAAATTCCATGTCTTACAAGTCACTTAAATACATGAGCCAATCACAGCCTGGCACGTATGCAGTTTAGGGAGTACGGCTGTTTGAAAGGTTTTCTTCCATAAAATTAATCAATTCTAGACTAATTTGACTGAACATTTCCAAAACACGTATAATTTTTTGGGAATAATTCATATGAAGTATGCTATAAACAAAAATTGTAGGATTACTTACCAAGTGTGCACTGTTCGACACCATTGTTTAAGCTTATTTTCATTACGAGCAGCTTATCAAACGGCGGGCGCATGTTTTCTGATAAGTTATTTTTCTGCAAAAAATTTGCTGAACTTTGGTGACATCATTAATAAAAATATTATTTTTATGGCCGTTGAATAATGTTTTTTAGTAGGTCTAGTGCTCATTTAAACTCAACGGTTTGTGCAATATCCACTATTGGTCCAGATTTGACCAATTTTGTTACAACAAGAGGCAGCGAGGATGTTTTACCGTGTTATGAGTTTCTTTTAGTGTGTTTATATGAACACAATCGCAATTTTTTGCCATGTTATACGAATCTGTCTTATATAAACCCATGTTATAGGGGGGTCTACTGTAATTATTTTAAGAAAGTGATGGTCACATCTACTGATGTTAAGAAAATATGAATATTTGAAATGAAATTATATGAAATTTTTTATAATTAAAATATTTATCATCATCATATAATAAAACAATATACAGTGGGTGATCGGTTAACGAACATAATCCATTCCAAGACTTTGTTCGTTATCTGAATTGTTTGTTAACCGATTATCGATTTCCCATTGGTTTTTATGGGAATCTGATTAATTTGTTCCGGAGACTCCAAAAAATAAAAAATATATAATTTTTTACTACTATTATTTGCATGTAATAGTAGAAATACATATATATGTAGTCTTGCATTTTTATTAGTCATGTTTTTTCTGTTTGTGGGGGTTAAAGAAGCTGTCCAATGTCGATTGCTTTTCTCTTTTCTTTGGGATATTTCCGAGGTAATTAATCGTATTGTAATTGTAGAGATCCCCAACCCCATTAACCTTATTCTGGTTTGGATGCTACTTGGATGATCTGACATCCTCCCACTTCTTCAAAAGATCTTCAGTAGCAGATGTCGACATTGGTCCTCTTTCGTCTTCCTCTTTTTCAAAAGAAAACACATCTCGCTGAGTTTCCTGGTATTCTTCATTTGAACTTTGTTCTTTCGAGTTCTTCTGTTGTCAGATCAGTTTTAGGTTCTATTATGAGCTCTAAAATGCTCTTTATTTCTTAGATGTGATTTTCATTACTTCGTTAGCAGCTTGAGACTTCTTGATATATCTTTCATAGCTAAGATTGTGCTCACTGTAGACCTGTTCAAGCCATATTGCCTAGCAACATCAGACATCTTGTGCCTACTTTCTACCTTGGCTATTATCTCTTACTTTGTTTTTACAGTGAGCACAGTTCTTGACACTTCTCTTTTTAGGCTCCATAATATTGTCAGTTTTTTAAAAATAAAAAGTTCAGAAAAACACTTACAAAAATTCAGAGAATAGAAATCAACTAGCCCACAAAAAATTATTTAAATGCACGGCCCAGATGAAATTTGAAATTTGGTATTAAAACATTAACAAATATTTGTTGAGACAATTAAACTTTCATTTTTCATAAATAAATTCCAACGCAAAATTTAACAAGTACCCGTCTGACAGTCTTGCGAACTCTATAAAAAATTATTTGTCAGAAAGGTAAACAAAAAGCTGGAATTACAAGGGAGAGTTTAAAAATTCGGAGGAATATTATACGTGGTACTATTCGATCGGTATCGGTTGAGCGTCAATGTTGACATCTCCCGCGCTTTAAAAGGTTTTGAATTGTTATCTGAAGACAAGGGGAAATTAATCGGTATTCATTATTTTCCGTTGCCTCTTTTTATGTTTGTTCAATAAAGTGTTTGTTATCCGAACATGTGTTTGTTGTCCAATTATAAAAATCTTTCGTGAAAGTGTTTGCTATCCGAACTGTTTGTTAACCGATCACCCACTGTAATATAAAATCTGTTTCTTATGAATAAAAAATCATAATTTTTATTGGCACTAAAAAGTTTAAGAAGCACTATTGAATTATTATTATTATTATTATATATATATATTAATATATAGGTAGAAGTAAGTTTCGTATTTTTAAAAATTATTATATGTAGTATGCTTCTAAGTTTATTATATACATAGAAATCATAATTAAAATATCTTTAAAGCCATCTGCAAATATACAGTATTTAGCAGTTGAAACTCATCCAAACATAGTAGGAATACTCTTTGATATATGTGGAAGTGATTTCTTGGGAAGAAATGATTCCAAAGGACAGAAGTTGTCATTCCAGGCAGAGAGAGAGAGCATAATATTGCATGTAGTACAGTTTGTTCAGATGACTGATGAATATAAAAGAAAAAAAACAAAACATTCTTGCCATGCTTGCACATAATGGAAGTTGCAATGGTTATTATTTTACTTCAATATGCTTATGAAGCTATATTATCAAAATAACAGTAATATTTTATTTTGTAAATTTTGACAATATAAGTAATTGTGAGAGATCAAACTACACCATATACCAGAGGTTTACAACCTTTTTGTGGCATGAACACATTTGAGATTGCAAAAAAATAGTGGTGGGTGCAAATCTGATTTCAAGACGAATGAAATATTATGTCCTTTATTATAACGTGCATTTTGTAACATATATTTACTATAACGTATTATATAATTATTATAATAGCCAAATTAGTGCAATCTTTGACACTACATTTCATTTGCTAATTTCTCACAGCTGGGAGCATAAGATGATAATTCCAATCATAAACAGTCTTCATGTTTGGCATTAGTAAGTTGAGATCTTATTTTTGATTTCATAATATTTACGGTGGAAAATAAAAATTTGCACAAATATGTGGAACCAAAACAAGATTTGATTTTGAAGGCTCCTTTTTTCAAAATATTATATTTTTTATGATCAACTAAACTCCAAAAGGTTTCATCCTTATCATGAAATTTTAATATGATGTCATTTTGAAAATCTAAAATGTCTTCTTCAATTATCGATGTTTCTTCTTGAAGTTCTTCTATAAATTTAGCAGTTTTACTATTGTCTACTTGTGTAGTAAAAATATTTGCAAAATCTTTTACTTGGGTTCGATAATGGTAAATATCTGGAATCTATTTTCAAACTGTTCCAAAAGATTTTTAAGATGAGTAATAAATAATGTTTGATCAAAATTATTTTCACTAGTCACTTTTTTCATTTTTGGAAAGTGTAAAAGAGAATTTTTTGACACATTATTTATCCAAAACTGTATTTAGGCTTTGAATGCTTTTATAGATCTAAACATTTTAGCTAAATGTTTATTTTTTCCCTGTATATCCAGGTTTAAACTGCTCAATTTGTCATGTATTTCAGTTTAAAAAGCCAAGTCCATCAACAATTGTAGGTTATCTAATCATTCAAACGTTTGACCTTTAGAAATAAGGAATTTTATTTCCTCTCTTTCAAAAGATCAATAAATTGGCCAAGTGCTTTTGCCTTTGCTTAACCATTTTATATCTGTATGTAAGCTAAGGTCAGCTTGGGAAGACTTGTCCTTTTCTTCAAGGGATTTAAACAATCTGTGTGAAAAAGGATTTGCTCGAATTTCGTTAATTAGTTTAACAACAACGTTCATAACATGTCCAAACGATAATATTTTGGCACATAATGGTTAATTTCTGTTGAGTAATTTTTAAAGATGGTATAAATATCTTCACTTCTTGTTTGATTTTGTAATGATAGTAACTTTAATAGTTCTTTCACACTAAAATCATTGAATATCATTATCATTACTGCCAATTGTGCTGTGTCTGATATATCTGTTGACTCATCTAATTGTAATAAGAAGTACTTACATTCTTCCAAATCATTTTTCAACTGACTTTGTAAATCTGTTGAAAACGTCTGGATTCTTCTTGTACTTGCATGGTTTGATAATGGCAAATCTTGTGTTGCTGAAATAATTTCTCGTATATTTATAAATAGCTTTTCAGATGCATGTGCACCGGTGGGCACAAGGTTGGGAATTCCTGCCATATACCTTGAGAAGAATGACTGTTCAATTTGCGAAAACTGGATATCTAAATTCCCAGTTTCTCAAATAAGTTTGTATTCACTTCCTGGTCTCTCTCAAAATTTGTCAACAAGTGAAATGATGTTGCCTGATCAGTCACTGCGTGAATAATGAAATAGGTTCTGTATGAGTACTGTAAAATAGTTGAATGTGCTCTACATCAGATATTTCTCATGCTAGGAGTAATTCTGACCTCACTTGGTACTATTTTTAAAAATTTAAATTAATGCATTAAATATATTACAATAATGAAGATCACAAACGTAATAAAAAAATTGTTTCTTATGAAAAGTCATCATTTTCCTTAAAATTAAAATGTTTAAGAAGTGCTAATGAATTGTTTTATTACTGTCATTTGTGATTATGAAATGCTTTTGTTGGTCATTTCAATTGCTAATAATTATAAAATTAATCAATTGATATAAAATGTGTATGTGAGTATAAATGTTATTTATTTACATTTTTAACAACCAGCTTAGGTTAATTAATATTTAGAATGTTTTATTACGTAGTCGTATATATATTCATATAAACAAATTATGAAATTAAATTCACGAAACTGTGAAAGTGTTAAATTATATTTAGGAGCCTTGTCACTAAAAAGTTTCAGTAGAACTGTTCCACCAATATTTTGCAACTTTTTCTCATGTACAGCACACCTAGGTTTTTCCCAGAATTCTGTGGGATACTAAAAGTAAAAATATACAAAACTATAGGAATTATATACAAATGACTCACTAAAACCTTTTAGTAAAAATATTTAATCTAGATGATAAACGTTTTCAACCTTAAAATTCGGTCTTCATCAGGTTTATAAGTACTGAGATTCTAAGAACAGTTTCAGGATACGATTTAAACATTTAGAACGTTTTGAATCTTTCGTATACTATTGTGGGCATTCGTGGCCATGGATGCTTATGTATTGCTGCAATAGGTATCACGCAAAACTACAAACGAAAATAAATACG